TAAAACTGTAATTTATTTACATATACCTTAACATTTTTACAGCAGTTGAAGTATTAAATAACTACTGATAAAATACATTCAAGATAAACATAGGAATTTTAAAAGATCTTATACCATAAAGTAGCCTGTTTAAAGTTCTTTGATTGAAAAGAGATCAGTGGAAACTCAGAGAAAAAAGTACCTGTTTGTGAGTTTCTAGAACACAGCGAAAACTGGATAAGCACTTTTCTTCTTCCAGTTAGACGCTACCAAAATCCTTTTTCTACACTGCAGAAATCCCCTTTTAGAGCAACATTCTTGTTACACGTTAGGACTGCTTTCTAATGTAATCAGCAACACAACCAAGCCCCATATTTGTCTCAGCTGGAAACACCTGCTGACAAAAATTGTAGGAGATATTTCTGAAAAAAATAAACATCTGTGGAAAGGAGCAGACAATTATGCAACAAATCAGAGGAGCTTGCTTCTAAATAGTTGATGAAGCTGATTTGGAAAACTGATCTTCATGCTTCATCACCATCTTATTGGCATCTTGTATACATTCTCCTCACAATCATCACCTGGCAGAAGAGCAGAGGAGTAACTTCAATTTCATTTTTCTTCTAAACTATATAAATTAAGGACTACTCTGTTTCACCATCATAAATATGGAAATTACAGAAAAGACATATAATTTAGATTGATAGTTAAGTTCATGTATAACCTGACTGTAGTTTTACTTGCTTTCTGCTTATCTTGTAGAAGTCACTTTTCCTTTTGCAGTGGCGATTATTTCCACTGAAAAAAAAAAAAAAAAAAGACACTTTTAATACAGATATTCACTCTCTGAAGGAAATGCTGCCCAAAACCATAATCTTGTCCTGGTTTGAACAAATTACATCTCCTTATGTCCAAGTTCCCACTGTGCTGGAGAAAAAAACACACCTATTGGTATTCAAGAACCAGTTTTTATGGCTACTACAGGGAGGTCTACAGGTCAGCCTATAAAGAAACTAATTTTGGGATGCCCATATCATAGAAAAGTCACACCAAGTAGGAAGCCAGTATGAGCCAAAGAACTACTGAAGCAAAATGCAAGTTCATTCAAATCACAGATTAAAAAAAAACAATAAAAAATTCTAGACCAGAAGTTTAGGAGTTTTGAAGTGCTATTTAGCATGAAAATATTCAATACTATTCAGTAATGTGCAGCCCCAAAAGGTGGAGTAATGAAATTGTTCCTCCAGTTTCACATCAAACCCACTGACAATCAATCCTGTGAACTGCAGCAGTTTTCTCAAAACAACTGTGAAGAACAAAGCAATCAAACAAAACAACTCTAATCCCTCATCATCGTTGTACTATCTATTAGCAACTGTTTTGTCATGAAAATGAGGCATACATTTTCCTTTGTCCTCCTTGTATTTTCCATGCATTTAGATAAACTTTTTCTGTTTTATGCTACAAGAATGTGAAAATTCACATGCTTATAGAGCAAAGTGTGGAGAAGTGAAGGACATGATAACTGAACACAGATGAGGAAGATTATGTGAGCTCTCTTAATCCACCATCTTAGACTAAAACAAATGTTTGTTACTGGGGGCTGTTGGCAGGGAAGTCAAACAGAGAATATGTTTCTCAAAGTGAAGCCCTTCATACTGGAAAATGGCTCCAGACAGCTTAGGAAAGACCAAAAATATGCTAAAAAGTAGATTAATGGAAGAAATGGGAAGTAGGATCAATATTTATGCTCACTGTATAAAGAGGAGCAAAGACCAGACAAGGAACCTATTCACATTACCCCAGACCTCTCGTATACTCAGATATTAAATCAGGAAGCTGAGACTCCCGTTGTCTGCTGGCAGTACTGACCTGTTGCAGCAAAGACATCAAAACACATGAAAAAAAAAACCCGAGCTGAGCTTGGAGGAATGGTGAAACCAACCAACAGAGGCAGGAAAGCAGCAGTTTGACCAGAGGACTCTTTCCTAAGACACACACAGTATCACCAGGTTTAATGTTAGAATTTTATGGTTTAACTTTAAATTAAAAAGAAAAAAAAAAAACACCCCACCCCAAAACACCTTATCCTGTCCCCTCTCTCTGCATAGTACCAGCATAAGATAGAACAGAGTGACTGCTGTGTTAGATTTTTAACACTATGGAAACAATGGAAAAGGATCTTAAATAACCTTGCAGTTAGAAGTACAGCTGCTGGCATCTCACATTTTCCTCCCTGACCGGCAGAGATTTGACAGCAGCTTCTGTGCACAGGTAATAAAAGCAAGCTGGATAACCAGGCAGATAAAAATGTATTTACAGCCCCTTCCCATCAAATACCCATTTCCAAAAAGATTTAAACCAAGCTTATTTATCAACTTCACTGTATTTTGAAAGAGTATTTCATTAGACTGAATTTACTCTTTTCTAACTTGTAAGAATTTTAGAAGAAATAAATCTTTCAAGGAAGAACTGGCAAATAGGTAAGTCATAACTGAATCATGTTACACAGAAATGTAAATAAGCTGACCAAAGGTGGTGAGTAGAATGCGGATGGTAAATGCTTCCTCCATTTGCACTTCTCTTCTGTATTTGTGTTACAATCACATGTAAGTTTATTCAGTTCACCAAGTTTATTCAATTTCCTTGTGCTTGCTCTCAAGACATCCTTCCTTCACCAGCCTGCAGGGTAAGAAGCTGTCACATCTTAAATCCTCACCTCCAGACCTGAGTATTTTTGGTGGTAATTGCTGTGTGCTTTGATGTGCACCATGTTTCTAGCAGCAAGCAGCTCGGAGTCATTTTCTAATACTACCAAATGCAGCCACAGAATACACAACCTGTGGAAAGAAAATGAACAGCTAAATAAAACAGTGTAAAAACTTACCTGTCAGTAGAAATTAGATACAAAGCTGGAAAATCCAGAGGTGTTGTTCCAAGCATTAACTCCAGAGCTAAAAATTAAGTATCCCCCAAAGGGCCCACTTACAGATACAACATCAGAGAACGCTACTTTTGATTGATTACAAATACTAGATAAGACTGTTTGCCAGCAAAAAGTTTTAATAGCAGCACTTTGAAAAGAAAGTATGAAGTATTTATTTTGCGAATGTTGATGGTCTGTGTGTATTGCTCCCTCTAGTGTAAAAATACAAAATCACAATCAATAAACATTCAAAAATAATGAAGTTTGGTAACAGATACAAACTTTTGCAGGTTTTGCTTTTCATTCTCTACCAACATTTTTTTCCTAAATATTTATAACATGATTTCTCACATTTTAATACAAGAGATTAGAGATTTTAACTTAAGTTTCAGCTTCTGATCCATGTCTCTGACACTTCATTAGCAGGAAATGCTTATACCAGAGTGGAATAGTGCATATGCAAATCTACACCCTGTAGTTACTGCTGTAACACTCCCCAAGAAATCAGCAAGGTACGATGCGGTGTTGCCCCCCCTTTTTTTTTTCCCTTCACTGAAATAGTAATTTCCACTCCATGATTGTTTTACAGTTATTACTGGTGTCATAGAAGAGCTTGGTCTAAAAACTGCAGTGAAGCACATTCTGCTATACATGTACTCATTCTACTTGTACCTGGTTAGGACCTAGAATTTGGAAATAAAGCAGTTTTGGAACTTGGATTTCCTTTCCCAAATAGGGAAGAAATCCCTTAAAAACACACAGGTCACACTGAAAACTGACAACTGCAAGAAATCATTTTAGACTTTACCTAATCTGAAGAGATTTGATTTGAGACAGCATGACAACAGCCACAGCCACTGCTGCAAGCTCCTCTCAGACAGCATCTGGGAGGACTTCCCAGGACAGGTAATACCACATACATGAAAGAAAAACAACAGCTTTTCATGCCAGTTTCATCAAAAGAACATGCAGTCTGGTTTGTCAGGATGCTTAACAGATTCTTTTAATCAGTAAAGTTTTCCAGCTCAGAATTCTCTGAAGTGCACCTGTAAGATCAAGGCAGCAAATTCACCTTCTCTAAGAACTGATGGAGCTATCCCTAAAGATAAAAGCCAGAAAATGAAACTTGCAAGTTGGAGCAAAATTCAAATGAAAGCTTATCCCGAGACTTGACTAAACAACCTGCTACAGAATAATATAATTAATGCTCTGCTCTTGTTTTCAAAAAAGGAGATAGTTTTTCCCTCTCCTCTTGCTACCATGAGAAGCAGCTGAGAACTTGGGAAGCCATCTAAAGGATCATTTTGCAGTTGTGTATACACTCAACTGTGATTTTATACTTGAGAGGTATCAAAATTCTCATCATACAAGTACCAAATCGTCCAACTCCTACTGTAATTGCAATTTAAGCTTTGTGAGGCTTGACAGATCCAAAAAAACCCCCATTTTCTCTGCCTGCCAGAATGAGACTGTGAATCATTATTGTTTCACACACACCAAATTTGAGCATATTTGGTGGAGTAAGACTGAAATAAAATCTGATGCAAGCTATTTTTTTGAACTCTTAACAGGCAGTCCTAACAGATGACAAATGGTTCTACTGTCTCAATATTGCACAAATTAAGCTTTATTCCCTTCAAAGATGAGCGTGGTTATCTGGCAGATACTTCAAGTCATTACATAGATATTCTACTTCAGACAAACCACAAAACTCGTTTTATTTTTCTACCTGAGGTGGCTGTTGCTTCCATCACAGAAGTGTGCCCCAATGACGGTCCTTACAGGATACCTGCCATCACTACTCCCCTAAAGCTGTGCTTACTGTCCAGACTATTTGCTTGATCATTTCTGAAATGTATCCAACTAATCTCTGATACAACATCCTCTAATTATGAGGAGTCCATTATAGGGAACTGGTCTCAGGTAGTGCAGCTAGCTACAATACCTACCATGCAGAGGGCTCATCAAGGATGATACTGCATGCCACAGCAAGAAAACAATCAGGTTCTTGAACTAGTGCCTCTGTACCAGCTCAGTCACGGAGTAAGAAAATGGGCACTACAGCAAAATCTCAGGGGCTAAATTCAGGACAAAATTAACAGTTGAGAAAGAAATTTTATTTCAAGCTTCTAAGGGGGTATTACAAACAATAGAGAATAAAAACATTAAAAACTATTTAAAAAGTAATTGTCCCTTTAAAATAAAGATTCAAGCAGGTTTAACAATGAAGTATGCTATTCAATGAAGTTTTAAAAAAAGATTTAAAAAGTATTGGTTTTGCTGTATTTGCTAATCCTTTATAAAAAAGCTGGGCATAAATACTTCGTGCATTCATATGCATTATATTTGGTGTTTCATATTATATAACTTGGTACAGTATTTAAGATATCACTGCAAAAGAGTTCAAACACAGTGCATTTATAAATAATGGAGTCATTATAAATCACATTGCAAACATACCTTGCCATTTTCATTGTTACAAATTCAGTATCTCAGTGAAGGTAGGAATAAAGTAGCTACAACAATCAATATCTTGACTTTTTTTCTTTTTAATATAAAAATGCAGTTCTGGAAACCCACCCTCCTTCTTCCCCCTGCCCAAACATAATGCTTTACTTCTTAAAAATAAAAATAAAGTACTAATTCTATATACATCACATGTACCATACAAAAATGTATCCAAAGTTTCTATTGCTACCAAAGTGTTCTAAATTAAAAGTTACATAAATCCCCTCATTGGAAACAGAAGATTACAAGTTACCAAAAAAACCGAATTACACACAAACCATCGAGTTTTTTATACAATTTCCAATACATTTTTCTCCCAAACCAAGTTGTCTTCTCATGTGCCTGTATAAAAATGCATATCAATATATTTGTCAATTTTATTTTTCATTATAAAGCAAATTAATACATTTTCTACAATAAATAAAACACAGGGAGGCACAAATATAAACAAAATTAAACCAATGGGAGATAAATGGGATACGGCTTTGAAAGAAATAATGTGCTTGCAGGCTTTAAGCCAGGTTTGTTTAAAACAAAAACAATCAAGTTATTTTGGGCAACAATGGAGTGTTTTTGGTGATTTGCAAGTGATGTACATAGTATATTTTTTTTGATGCCTTTCTCACAAAGTACCCTCCAAAATAATGCAACTTCCTTTCTTAAAATACATATTTGTAATTGTAAATTTACATCAATCTTAAATATGTGGTACTTTGTGCAAAGAGCAACGATTTACACAAACATTCAGAAGTCTTTTTCAGAAGCTACAGACCAAGGAAGAAATGATACAAAGCAGCACCATATTGTATATGATTTAGGCAAACATATATTTGATGCCATTTTGATATTAGGCTTGAAGATTCACTAAACACCTTCAGCTGGAAGATGGCGCTTAGGTAACTTAACCTCATAAAGAAAGAAAGAAAAGTAAAAAGCACAGAAACAAAAACCAACTCCCTCCCAGCAAAATTAAAAAAGGAATTAAAAGAGCTACTTCTAAAATCAGAATAAGTTAAGTGTTGAATATACATTTATGTACAATTATGAACACTATGAACAAGACATTTTAACAGGTTTAGTGGAAAATCCTCCAAACTACAACATGGTAAAATCATTAATCAATATGGCAATGGTGATTTAGGAGATTTACTCAACTATTTCAAGTTTGCAGAACTCAGCCACTGAGCCAACAATTAAGGGGTTGTATCTTCAATACATTCTTTTAGAAAAGGGGGTCATTAGTAGAGTTCAAGTCTGTGTGGTATGTTTCACGCCTTCATAGAATCTGTTAGTCAATATCACTGAAGTCACTGACTGGTTCTCCATGGACTCTACTCAGGTGATTCATAGCACGATCAAAAGCAATTCTTACTGCCTTTCGTATGCTTGAGTTACGTCCTTCCATCATTTTTAACTTGTCTATGGTCTCATCTATTCCAAGGGGAACCATTTTGGATTTGGGAAGCCACTGCCTGTAAGAAAAGGTAAAATCAGTGTGTTAAATATGGAGTAAAAGAAAAAAGTTTGTCCAGAAATGTCAGGGCTGCTATATTGCATTTTTCATATCACAGATCAGCTTTTACCATCTTCAATAAAGTTATAAAATTCCTTTTAAGATAGTACTTACTCAAGTATTTTAAGAACACGAGATATTAAGCCTCTTCCATAAAACAACTAATACACTGCAATTCAGTGATAGTTAACAATTGCTATTAAGGGTGAACTGAAAAAAAAATAGCATGAAAATACTGATGCAGTTTAAGTACAGGCAGAAGGATGTAACAATGAACAAAGCACAAGACTAATTTGACACAGTATTATGTTCTGTCACTTCCATTATTACCAGGAATTTGCAATGATTAATTTTTGTCTTTTTGCCTTAAGACATCTTGATTTGGATTTATGATGAAAGCTAAACTGTCAAGGAAGTTCTGCTTAGTATGCTTTTACCCTGCATCATGAAATCCTACTAACTTTTAATTTAATTAGGAGTACTTTCCTGGTTTAAGCTCTGTGAGTATCACTAATTACTGGGCATAGAGAAGTGATAATGAAAAAATCTCTGCACTCCTTCTAGTTAAAGCTTTCTAAATGTTTAATCAAAAAGTATGAAGTAAATTTACTTCCATTTCCATAAAAATGTTTATTTTAACTCTGTTTTCTTAAGTTACAGGTAAGGTAACTCAAGAAAAAAAAAAAAAAGGTAAACTAGTAAGTATCTATTAGAAGTATGTTATTGTAGCCTGCAACTGCAACCTTGCAAATGGCGTAAACTGTGTTTCTGTTCAAAAACTTCAGTCTGGGAGTCCATTTGGAGCCAAACTAACCGCAAATCAGACAGTAAAGGCTGATATAAAACATTTTTTCAAAGGTTGCTTATTTTTTACCCAATAAAACTGTCTCTTGAAATACTATTTTTTAGTAAAGCACTCTAAACTACAACCCTATTGTACTGAGCACACACACTGAAACCAAAATAACAAAGAGTCAGTACAAGGATACAGACAGAACAGTAAATAACAGTAACATCAGCATGGTAAGCAGCAGTCTAATCATTGTTAAGTTTTGCTACAGATCAGAGGGAAGTTTCAAAGAAGGTATTTTTAACAGAAAGCTTGGCAAATCCTTCAGATGCACGTGTCAAAGAAACAAATATGACTATTTGAAAAGGTAATCCACAGGTGATAGAAGCTGGTATCGTGGACTGAAGATGACTCTGCAAGTGAATGAAAATCATACACGTGGGTTCAGGAGTAGGAGAGGCAGAACAAGAGTTAAGAGTGATGAGTGCCAAAATGGCCAAAATAATGAGAATAAAAGAACCATTACCAAAAAAAAGTAGTGGGAGGGGAGGAGGTGAAAGGGGCTGGAAGAGTATTTAGCCTTTCCTGTCCATCTATGCTGAGTATCCATTAGAGACAGATCTGCATAGTATTTGCAAGATTTAGAACCACCTACATATGGCAATGAATCAGACAGGTTTAAGGTGCAGAGGACTCACAAGCTCAAGTAGCAAACACAGGAATCATTAAGAAAGTGGCTAGGGGAGAGCATGCATTACACTTGTGATACCAGCAAGAGAATAATGAGAAACAGAATACTAAGTATGTCTAAACTTGGATGATCTCCATGAACAAAAGCAGAAGAATGAAGAATTTCATGGAATCCTGCACAACTGAAAGATCATTAAAAAGTACTAATAAAAAAAAATGAAGAATAAGCCAAAGAATACTGATTATGCCAAAGGACCTATGGGGACAGAAAAGCAAACCTCAGGCAAGAAATTATTTAGGTGTTAGAGTACTGGGGACAGAGAGAGTCAGGGAAACAGCAGCATTACTAGAAATTTCATCAGCTGAAGAGGAAGATGGCATCTGAAGTTGTAAACAAATTCAAGAATAAAACTGAGATATAAAAAGATTTAAAGCTAGCTTAATCTGTGTGGAAACAGACTGAAGAGAGATTAAGAACACAGGAATGAAATATATAATTTGATGAAGGGAAGAAAAGAGAGTTGATGAAAAGCTTCCATATCTGGAGGGGGAAAAACCTAAACCAACAAACCCAGACAAACACACACTCAAAAACGGAAACAGCAGCAACAAAAAAGGTAGCACAAGTGAAAGAATATTTTATTGTCTAAATTATCCCTTCAGGCCTCACACAGCATATTCCTGATACTGAAAGAAACTGAAGAAGGAAAGGTTTCAAGAAAAAAATTAAAAAGGGTCAAGAACTTCAAATGAGAGTGTTAATAAAGAACTTTAGAAGTTAAGAATTTAAAGAAAATGCACTTGAGCAGACTGGGGGGGAAAACTGGTGTCATTTGGGAAGCAATGATGAGGGCTGATACAGATAAAATACTTTCACCTTTAAAAAAACTGTTTAGCCAAAGAAGCAATTTTATTGGGTCAGTAAGTGAAAACAGCTTGTGTATCAAACCAAAAGACTATTTAACAACTTATATTTTCTTCCGAACTGACCATAAAAAGGTATCTTTCATTAACGATATACCTTGGTCAAAGAATAGACTCAAATATGAATTTTTTCCTTTACAGTTGATACTTCTGTAGGAAATATATCCATGGAACTATAATGTCTCAATTCTTTCGGGATAAAATTTTAAGTCACTACATCAAACAATACATTTCAATAACATACCAACTTCTTTTATTGTCAAAAAATAGCACTAAGAATAGTTTCTCATCAGATTTGGTCTGCATTTGTTCTCCGATTTTCAGTACATCCAGAGGTGGCACTGGTATAGTAACACCGTTGTGATGGCCAGCAACACGAGGCATCTTAGGGTCAATAATCTATGAAAGAGAATAAATGACAGTTCCTGATTTTTTTTAACTACATCATTTATTTTAAGGAGATATTACAAATAGTTAAGGGGAAAATAATCATAAACTGAGCAGCTACTGCATATAAATTGGCTTTGTTTTACACACATACCTTTTTGACATACACTGAACAGGTATATTTAACTGAAAAACCTGTCTCTACAGAAAATTTGGGGGTCTGAATTTCAGATACCTTAAAGAAACAAGCTTATCTTAAGATATAAGTATCTGTTTCTGCAAAGTACAAACCCCACACTCAAAAATGGAGCAGAACACCTTAAAAAAGGGACAGACAACCCCCCCCCCCCAAAAAAAAAGGTATCTGAAGTCATTTCCAAATATATTGCATATCCAATTTAATTACTCCATTTTTAGCAAAACATGGAGTTATAGTCACAAATTCTTTCTAAACAAAGGTTAGAGGAGGGTGGAAGATGCCACATTGAACTAATAATCACGCTAATGGAAAAACTCCTTTGTAGGCAGATCACAGCATAATTAAGTGCTCAGCTTTCACCAAAGAGGAGCTATGTTACTCCGTGTTTGTTCCACCCACTTCCTACTCTCTAAACTTCCATTTTTTTTTCTGTCATCCAAACTGGCACCAACCTTAAACCATGGTAAACTGATTACGGGAATTAAATCAACAGAAAGCTAACACTGTGGAGAGTTTGTAGAAATCAGGAGAACTTTCTTCTCTTGACTGACGTTTAATTCCCTGATCAACTCATCACACACAAGAGAAACACCAGTGCTGACACAAAGGAGTAGGCAGAAAAGGAGACCTTTAGTCATGATCAACTAAAATCTAATACTAAAGTGCTAACACCATTCAAGTGACAGCCAAATCATTACATTTTCAGCATGACCCAAGAGTGTTTGAGTCACCCACTGAGAGCACTTAAGTGCTCTAAATCTCACCTCCACAGGTTTTAACCTGACCCTGTACAATTACATTTCCTGATGTTCCCAGCACTTCCTGATGTTCCCATCACACATTAGAAGTCGTAACTGTCCAGCCTATTAGAAAAATCAAGCCAGTGTATGCACTGTTTCTGTAACTCCAAACACCTGAAGCCAAACACTTTAACAATACTTTTCTGCAAGCTTTAATGTAAGTAGAACTCTCTATTTCTCCTAAAATAACACAGGCACAATAGCTTTCAGTTTCCAGCATGACATTCACAACTGGATACAATCATTCAATTTATTCCGAAGATAGCAAGCTTTCTGTTTCTTTAATGAACTGCTAAATCAGAGTATTTCTATACTCATTTTCCAACAGAAAATATCTTATAGCAACACCACCAACAAGATGTCTGTCAAATGCTTATTCAGTAGATACTTTAGAACAGTAATACATACTGCAGAAATAAAGACTACCAAGACACACGTGCTGGTTTTGGCTGGAGTTAATTTTCTTCATAGTGGCTGGTATGGGTCTCTTGTTTTGGATCTGTGCTGTAAACAGTGTTAATAACATAGGGATGTTTTCGTCGCTGCTGAGCAGTGCCTACACAAAGCCAAGGCCTCTTCTGCTCCTCACACCAGCCCCCCCGCGAGCAGGCTGGGGGTGCACAAGGAACTGGGAAGACACGCAGCCAGGACAGCTGACCCCAACTGACCAAAAGGATATCCCACACCATATGATGTCATGCTCAGCATATAAAGCTGGGGGAGCAAGAAGGAAGGATAGGACGTTGGGAGTGAGGTGTTTGTCTTCCCAAGTAACCATTATGTGTGATAGAGCCCTGCTGTCCTGGAGATGGCTGAACACCTGCCTGCCATGGGAATTGGTGAATGAACGCCTTGTTTTGCTTTGCTTGTGCACACGGCTTTCGCCTCACCTGTTAAATTGTCTTTGTCTCAACACAGGAGTTTCCTCACTTCTACCCTTCCAATTCTCTCCACCATCCCAACGGGAGGGAGTGAACAAGCACCTGTGTGGGGCTTAGTTGCTGACTGGGGTTAAATCACAACAGGCATTACGCATCTCAGATGATGGGTACGGAAGTAATTATTGACTCAACATCTCATATTGCAATAATTTTACAAATGATGCACAGTTAAGAGGGCAGAACAATCTACCTTTATTCAACCTGAATGGGAATTTATCAACTGGCTTAAGTTCACACATAAGTGTTTCCAGACCAGAAACTAGTGTACTGATGAGAAGCAGCTTACTTACCAGAGCTGGGTAAGAGGGATATCCACTGCATTTGGCCCATACTACTTTGAGAGGCTCAAGAACAGATGTTGCAGCATCAGTTGAAATCCACATACTGCTATGCCCAACTTCTAAGAATAAATAATAATTAAATATAATATTAAAATGTTAAAGAATGAAACCTCTGACCAATCTTCTGCACTTGTCATCAATATCTCATGATCATTAGAAGCCAAGTATCAACACCACTTTCCATGCACATATAAAATAGCAATAAAAAGCAGATACATTCAAAATATCTCTTTAGATGATACTAATACTTTAATCCAAGCCTAAAGATAACTAAGTTTTCAGACACTTCTGGAAACAGGCTATCTTAAACCACCTTAATTTTCAGAAAGCCAGTGTTCATCAACTTCTAATAATCCTTTCCCTTTGAAAAAAGCTCAAAAGAAAACAAAGTTACGGTACTTCAAACAACCAGTGTTTTTTGAAACTACCACAATCCTGTCAAAGCCGCGATGGTACTGAAGATTCAAGTTGCATGGTGTGTTTCCAAAGTGCTGGATACCATAATAGAACTAGCACCTAGTAACATACAATCCCTGCCTGGTATACCTTTCTACTCTTACACAGAAGTTCCATTCTGCATTTTAATTTTTATTCATTTATTTATATTTAATTGGCCTGTCTCTTTGCCCAGCCCTTTCCTGCAGCAAAGTCAGAAAGACAAACAGGGTGGCAAGGAATCAGCTGCTGGTTTCTTCCTTCTCAGGAGGCAACAGAAAACTGCGTTTATATTACTTATTGCTTCTACCAGAATCCTCCATTTTCTTCTCTGTTGTCACCACTGGACTGAAGCATGAGAGAGGTTAAAGACTTTCAGTCATCCAGAACTGCAATTGGCCCCTACACACAAAGTGATATGGTCAAGAGATTTGGTGGAAGACAGTGAGTTATCCCATCAAGATGTAACTGGGGTGGAAAAAGTAGGAAGAAGGCACTGAAAGTTCACAGGCTGTAAAGATGAGATGGTACTTCTTGTATACGTGGTACCGATTCAGTTCAAAGGTGGCAGTCGCAGGGTTTTTTAGAAGTAAGGCAATACTTGATAGAAGTAACTCTCTACTTGCCAAAACATGATTTCTTCCTCAATTCTTCCCCATCTGCTCCCATTTAAAATGGGCAATGCTTATTTACGATGAAATGGGGCATGCAGGTATCAGTTCTACCTCAACATCACAAAAAAAAAGTACAGGAAAAAAAGGGGTTTGAGACCTTTTAAGAGCAGAAATAGCAAGGAAAAGGTGCTTTAGGTGATTACAAAAAAAAGGTCAGTCATTCTCCACAATATATTCTAGGGTAATTCTCAGCCATAGGCTAAATCAATTCAATTACAATTTATTTTTGATCTATAATCATGTGTTAGTTTTGTCTGGGATAACTTTCTTCACAGTAGCTAGTATGGGCCTGTGCTGTTAAGTATCATCTGCTCCTCCTTATAGGTGGCTATAGAATGTACCTGAGAACAGAATTAAAAGAGATCAAGAATTCTGAAAACAACAGGTATAGGAATTCTAAGTGGAAAGTGCTAAATGTAAGAATACTCAGGACAGAAAGTGGAAAAGGTAAACTCCTGTGTAAGAGATTACCACGCAGATAATAAAGATCCTAAACGTGAGAGTAATGAAGCAGCAGCTGAATACAGATTAGCTGCAAGAAAGAAAAACAAAACTGATCATCTGGGGTCAAACGAACAGACTAAGGCAAACGAAGAGTCAGACAAGACCACCAGAAACACATAGAAGAGTCCCTGAACAAGGAACACCCAGCATGAGGGGTGAAGAGTTGTAAGGTCAGAAACTAAAGACAGGCCTGCTGCATGGCTAGACGCTACAAGGCTGACGCCTAACTTCAGCATGGGACTACTGCATTACACAAAGACAGTTCTACTTACGGAAGAGACTACCTACTTAAATCCTATCATGCAATTAAAATACTGAAACAGGTGGAAAACGTATCAACAGAATGTAGTTATTTCCTAAAACGTGGTAACTTACTATCCTCTACATCACTAGAAATTTACGCTTCTTTCCAATTTCAAATTTTTCCTGAATCAAAGCAGACTATGTCTTACCTGTCTGCCAACATGTTTATGCAGAACAGTATCTGAAGACTAAACTCTACACCAAACATTCCAATGAAGAAAATTATTGAGAGAACCACAAACAGTATTTTAGGTAAAATTTTGCTTGTATTACTAAAGGAGCTTGATCACTTTAAATGCCACTTCTTAATAATAATAAAAATAATAAAGGATCAGGTATTATTTTCTCTTCAAAATCTTTAAAGAGTCAAAAGCAGAAACCAGTAATTTCTGCAATGCTATCAACACCACTTTCAGAATGCTCAAGGTATTTCACCAGCAAAAATCAGAATGTTGGAATCTGTCAAATAAATGGACAGAATTATTATTATACAATACTACAAAGAATACAGTTATTTATAGTTACCAGCTGCAATTCTTGCTGCTTTGGCATAGTTTCCATTTTCAATGCATGATATTAATTCACTTCGGTCTTCCAGTGTGTGCCTTCGTATAAGTGCAGGTTTACCTTTACCACACTTTGGTAGGCTGAAACTACAAAAGTATTATTAAAATCATTACTTGGTAATTAACATGGTTCACTATAACTCAAGACTTTGAAGAAGCATTTAAAATTCATCAGTACACAGTAAAATCAGAGCAGCAAGCTAACAAATTTTATGTAACAAAAACAACATAAAAGCCACAATCCCAGATTATTTTCATGCACAGAACTGCCTGGTTAACAGCAAAAGACAGTATGAAAATGCACCTCAGCTGCTGTACAGGTTGTACATGCACAAGTAAGATAAGCTGTTTTCTCTCCAGTGTTAAGAGTGGATACTGGCCAAATGAAAACATGCTCCCTTTGCTCAGAGGAAACAGTTCCACTATATAGGAAACATGACTATTTTCTCTTTCATTTTTCACTACAAATTCATGTCTTTCAATTGTGCAGTATCTATACATGAAACAGGAAATGTTATCTGCAGACTTGAGTTTTCTCTAAGGCACCACAGAATCTGAACAGAAATCAAATCTACTAGATCAAATCCTCAAAATACCACATTTATGAGAGATACAATATTAAACTGTCTTTGTTTCTGAAAGCCTGCTTAACGTGAGTGAGCTAACACCCTTAAACAATTCAATGCCAATCTTGAACACATGAATAAAACCTTCCTTTGCCCCCCTGCCTAACAGATTGACCCTGTACTCCTGTTATGTCCCATCCTCATAGTCTAGGACTAGAGATCGTTACTACCTTTCATGCACAGATCAGAGTGCTTTTGGAAGATACGGATATCACCATTGGTGTGGAGAAAAATTTCAATGGTGGCAGAGGTGACCATTTTGACAGTTCTGTCTTTACCAACAGACTTCACAGAGACAGTCAATAGCTGGTATACAGCTACTATCATCACTGCAGTAAACAGCCAGTATTCCAAACCAGAGACTGATAAACTGCAGTTTCACAGCTACTGAATTTACATTCCCTTTGTACAAGGCTCTGCTTTGCAAACTGCTTCTCCCCTCTCCTCACTGAAATAAACACATTATTTTCAGTGATTGGGATTAGGAAGGTAAAACAAGACACTATATGCACAAACGTGTATGTATCTATACAGAGCAAGAGAAGCACAGTCAAGTATAAAGTGTAGCTGCCTAAATCTGCAGTAAGGGCCCTGGGTTCAACAGAAGAATCCAGCAAACCTGAAAGGTGTCTCTGATTTGACACACAACTGAGAAAATGGACATGTACTCCTTTTTTCTCAAATTTATGCAATCCTCCAATGTGGGTCCACAAGCAGTACAGAAAACTGGCATTTTCAGTCTCAAATTGTATTTCAGGTTTACAGCTTTACCTTGAGTTACACAAAAGACTGTTACTAGATGAAATACTAGATTCTGATGCACAGCGGCGACGAGGTTCAACTTTTCTTCCAGGAGTATCATCTAATGCTCTCTCTTTACTTCCATCTCCAAAACCATTTGACAGACCTACAGTGTAACACAAAAATAAACTACATCAAACTTGAAACCACACCATTTTCACTAAAACTTTTCTGTATTCACACATTGCATCATTACTGTTCTGTACTTCAAGAATTTTGATGTGAAGAAATAACATAAGCATTCACCAAACATTTCGTTTCAGAACACAGTATTATAAATAGGAGGTTCCTGTAATCCAGATTTTAAAGACAGGATGAAAATAGGTAACATTAAAAAAAAGTGAAGATCATAATATGTGAAATGCCAAATTGAATATCACATCAGTGTCTGTACGTCATGTTTCCAACTACTGAGACAGGCTGCAGAAGCTGAGTAGAAAAAACCCTCAAAACCAAAGGGAGAAAAAAAAAAAAGTTACAAACCAGTCAGATTTACCAAGTCAAGACAAGACTGCTTTGAATACAATGCTACAACCATAAGTCAAGAAATACTGAAAATCCATTTCAAACACTGGAAGAGTGGTACGGATTCCCTCCTGATGTTATCTACTTCTTCCGGGAAGTCCTTCCAGTTTTGCAAATTCAAACTGACATTATGTTTTTTTTCTGTGATTAATAGCCAATAATATGTACATTACTATTTTTTATTATCCTTCCCCTGGCACAAGCTTAAGTACATCCAAGGCTACTGTATTTTAGTTTCATAGTTGCAATGAAAATGTAAAAATAAGGCTTTTATGATTACAAGATACTGATTTCATGGGCTGCCACCAATCCTGCTCTGGGTTTGCTAATTCACAAACAGTACAGTTCTTAAGCCATTTCCGTATCTGGTTAAAGAGACATATTAAGAGGTTTAAGATCACATTCTGAAGACTTTCCCAAGGAGGAGGGGAAGAGGTGTGGACATCAGAACTGAAAAAAAAAAAGGAAGAATCCAACACAGACTTGAGAGTATTAAGAGAAATGAACTGGGATAAAGGCAATGGCAGTAGCCTGCAACCAGCTACTGCAAGCTGTAGACTGCAAAGAAAACAAAATTTTAAGATGAATTCTCAGCACATTTGTTTCCTTACAACAAATAAAAGTTTTTACTTAAGGCTATGACCAGCAGCATGCTTCTAATACTGGAAGAAAGAGCAACCCATCCCAGATATCCTATTATCAGAGTCTTAAAGGTCATCATGATCATTGTTCATTCAGACACAGTCAAGCAAGCATATGTAACTTCATGTGTCTTTCTGTAGGGCATTATACTATAATTATGGCAGAACTCCCTTTATTAAGTTCTAATTCTTCCAGTCTGTTTGCTAGGAAGACCTCTGCAAAGAACACTGACAACTAAGGAACTTGAGCTTAGCAAGTTACTTTGTATGATCTAGTCATATTTCAGGGCATTTACCATACAGTGATTCAAGGGATTTCCCACTAATGCCTAGGAGATCTTCCATTTGGATTATGAACACAGTATTAGATTTTTAAGAGAAAAGGGAGAAGCTATACAACAGTCTGAAAGATTTATAGAGAAGCATTCTCTTTTACTGTCAATTAGCTGACACTGAAAATATACATTTGTCTATTTTGTAACTCTTGTATATATTTGTAACTCCTGTAACTCCTATGAAAGAAAGAAAATTATAAATCTAGCGTTGTCTTGAGCATTCAAACCTCAAACTACATGGTATTGATTAATCTTGTTCTCATTCTCAGCAAGCCAGTACAAATAACCGTAAATTGAGGAGTTCAGTCCTAGACTATGCTGAAGGACCTGTCAGAACAGATTTTGCTTTATGAGAAAGCTTAAATTTGCCTACAAACTATCGCAGTACACTTCATAACGCATCTGAAATGCAAAGCTGAAAAAACATTCTGCTAATACAAAAAGAAACCTTCTGCGTCTCTGCAAAAAACTATTTCTTATTCTCAGATATCCTGTCAGACCTATTTTTCAAGTGAGGTGTAGAAACTGCTCTGTTTTCAGCCTGCCACAAGCCAGAGACATGTTACTCAAGTTTCCATTCAGGCCCTTAGATAATATAAATCAGCTATCAGCAGAAACAACTTAGATCAGAGATTAAGTTTTAAAGAGAGATCAAACAATTACTGCTACCAGAACAAGAACACAGTGCACATTCCCAAAGGACTGAGGAAGTAGAAATACCCGTTCATTCTTTTAAGATGATGTATAAAAAGCCATAGGTATGCCAAATATGACATAGCTACATGTCTCTATGTACACTGTTCGGTATGTATATTCAGAGGAAAATAAATAAGTAAATAAAATTAAGGACTAGCTTCACATTTTGATTGGTTCCATCAGTTTGACTGTGCTGCTGCTGAAATGGACATTCTGGCACTCTCAAACCCCTGCCAATGGTTTCTTCTCGTCCTCACCATGTCAGTACCAAGAAATATGTATTCATGGTAATGAACTAGTTTTCAGCAATGCACTGGGAAAAGCAACCATGTGGTTGCTTTGATTGCTGATGTTGAGGAACAAGCAATGCAACAGAAACATGCAACTAGAGCAATGGAGACACTACTCTCCAGTGGTAGTCCAATCTTATATTAGTTTAAACATAACTTATGAGTGTCATTATTTCACTAATGTAGGATTTTAACATTACAGTAGGCAAAGTTTTTTTCAGTCTGTAGAATGGTTACTAACAGTGGTGTCCTGGTTTAGGCTGGGATAGTTAATTTTCCTTCTAGTAGCTACTGCAGTGCCATGTTTTGGATTTAGTACAGAAATAATGTTGATTTCACACCGATGTTTTAGTTGTTACTAAGTAGTGCTTATCCTAAATTAAGACTTTTGAATCTCTCATGCTCTGCCAGTAAGGAGGAGCACAAGAAGCCAGGAGGGAGAGGAGACAGGCCACCTGACTCCAGGTAGTCAAAGGGGCTTCCCATACCACAGCACATCATGCTGAGTGTATAAACTGCTGAGAGTTAGCTGGGAGCCATGGATAGCTACCTGGGGTCGGGCTGGGCATCAGTCAATGGGTGGTAGACAATTGTACTGTGCATCACTTGTCTTTCTTGGGTTTTATTCCTCTCTGTTATCTCCCCTTTCACACAATTATTATTACATTTTACTTAATTTCAACTATTAAACTGTTCTTACCTCAACCCACAGGTTTTACCTTTTTCTGATTCTCCTTCATATCCCACAGGGGGAGAAAAGTGAGCCAGTGGCTGCATGGTACTTAAGTTGTCAGCTAGAGTTAAACCATGATAAATGGGGTTAAAAAAACCCCAACTTTTTTGACAAATAAGGAATATTAAAACAAAAAAGGATCTAGAGCTGCTCAGACACATCTCTCTCTTGCTTGTGGAAGCATGAAAAACAAAGAACATGCAGGCTTATTAGCAGGAGTAATTTTTGTCAACAGCAAGCCCTGAATAACATGAGCTTATGCAATCCACGTGACTCAAGTTTATACAGTCCACTTTTCATAAATTATAAGCAACAGGCATTATTTTAAGAAAGAAAGATCTCAATGCTTATTTTAAGCAAAACACACTCATATCTATTCACAGATGCAGCAGCTCCCAAGCAACCACACAATGAAAAATGTAAGTGCTTTATGTTATCACCAGTGTGCAAAAAAAGAAAACCCCCAATATACTACATTTATATGCTAGAACTGGAAATCTGTTTTTTGGTTTTTAGATCATTAAAAACCTCTTCCCATGAATCATGAAACACCAAATCTCCTGTAGCTACTAGAATAAATGAGGTTAAAGAAGATTCCCATTTGCTTTACGGAATTTGCGTTTTATTGTCTCAACAGTTATTACTATTAAGGTCAAACGAAAATCTGTACTAGAACTAACTCATCCTGTTTTTGCAGACAAGTAGCCTGGGTAAACTTGCAACAAACCTCTATGAGCAATATCCATTTTCCAAAAGCTCATGATTTTTAGATCTAATGAGCTTTCATTGCAATTGTGAGAGAAACTTTATTAGGCCAAGTACTGAATTTTTTACACATACCCAACACCCCTGATTGAGAACAACTTCCCTCGAAAAACAACCCCAAACATCAAACTTTTTCGTTATTTCAAACAGCAAAGTCTGCTATCAATCTTCAGTGCAGGGTTACTGCCATTTCCAATCTTCGGCTCTAGACTGCAATTTACAAAGCAAGTTTCCTGCCGTATCAATCATGGAACATAACACACATGCCCATTTTAAAAATAAAGAAACACTAACAAATCAATGTAAACTTACGAAAAAAAAGTACACCAAAGACGATCAGCTTGATGTCTTTTCACAGGTTTCTCACTGCCCTGAAAACGGTATTTACTGGGGAAAGTTTCAACTTTTTCTCAACAGAAACAGTTTGTTCTTAAACTGCAATCAGAACTTTCACCGACTACATACCAAGCCAGTTAGAATCTTGTTGCCTACAACGAATTAAAGGAAATGGGAAATGGAAGAAAGACAGCAGAAGTTTGGAAAAAAAAATGACTGAAGAACAAAACTCAGGACAGTCCAAGAAGCAGAGTGCCCCATGAAAACATAAAACGCTGCCACAGAACACAGAACTGTGCGCTGCAGACTGTAACTGCATCTTGCAGTTCTGCTGAAACAAAAATAAAGCAGAACTGTGTAAAATTATTCTAAAACAATTCAAACTTTATTATGTGTGGCTTGATGTAAAACTAAGTATTTCCAAATGTCAGATGAAGTGCCATATTAAAACCACAGCTGAAGAGCTGAGAAGTAATGAAAACCCCTAAATAATTTCAACCACTAGAAAAGTGGGAGCATTCAAAAGTAACTGCACACAGTGCACCAGCACTCACATAACACTGTTTAGGCTTATTTTCCCAAGCAAGGACTAATCAAGTCTGACTTCTGCACTTACCCAGCACCAGTGACATTAGTCTTCATTAAAATATATATATGCATATATAAAAAAATAAAATTTATTAAAACTTCATAAATGCATAAAAATAGGTGAAACATTTTTGGTACGCTTTACTTCTCCAAGGAAGATTAAACTGCTTTTTGGGGAAAGGAAGAGGATGTAGATC